TATATATATATATATTTCACTGGTTTTGCTTCTCCATTTCAGTGATGATGCTTCCTCAGGTAGCCCTAAAAGGAACTCAATCTTTCTCAAGCTTCTTTTGCCTGAGATGCTCTTCCCTGAGATCTAAGCATAGCTAGACTCTGTCACTCAGGCCTCAGCTCAAACATTACATCCTTAAAGGAGACTTTTACCACTGAGCATCCAAACTAGCAAAACTTCCCTGCACCCAGCCAGTATCATATACTTTGTTCTGTCTCCTTTCAGGAATTCCTGGGGGGCAGAAATCATTAACACACTTGACTACTAATCAAAAGGTTGGAAGTTTGAGCCTGCCCAGAGGTACCTTGGAAGAAAGGCCTGGTGATCAGTTTTTTAAAAATCAGTCGTTGGAAACCCTATGGAGCAAGTTCTACTCTGACACACAGGGGCGTGGCCATGAGTTCAAGTCAATTCAACAACTGGTGTCTCCTTTTTGAGCCTTTTCAGCAGCTTATATCTTGTTCATTTTATTACTCATTGTTGATTTGTTTATTTATTTACATCCAATTATTATCCAATTTCATCCCTTCCCACCCAGAATAAAGAAGTAAATGAAAAAAGGAATGAGTAAAGTAAATAAGCTCCGTAAGAACACTGCCGTACCTCCAGCACTTCGAATACTGCTAGGTTTCATTACAAATCAGAGATCGAAATATTCTGGTGAAAGCTCAAAATTTTTATAAAAGGAATAGAGACTGTTCGTAGAGTTCCTGTCTTATAAACTGAAATCTATAATATGACAAATATCAAACTAATTTAGAAACTTGAGAGATCATATATCATAGTGTTTGCAGTGACATTGTGATTGACCCTCGCCAAAGCTCAAGTTCAAAAGCACTTAGTTTGTGGAAAGCGGCTGTCTTCAGCAGGAGCTCTAACTCCACTGCCACCAGTCATGATCTTGTGATGATTTATCTTGTTTTCTGTGGGGTTGTTTGGAAGAGGTGAGGGGTCTTCAAAAAGTTCAGGGTAGAAATGTAATAAAAAAAATTTTTTTTTCCCACAAACTTTCTAAAAGTACCCTCCTATATATGAACCCTATGGCTGTAAGTCAGTGGAGTCCATTTGGCTTCTATATTGTGTGCCTGCTAATGGTTTCTCCCATCCAGGATGATTATGTTTGTTTTGTCTTTGTCTGGTTTAAGGCTTAATGAAAGGGTCGCTATGAGTCAGGACTGATTCAACCACACTTAACAACAACATAGAATATAGAGTCCTGGTGTGGCCCTGTAGTTTCAACACTGGACAGCTAATTGTAAGGTCAACAGTTCAAACCCACCAGCTGTTCCTCGGAAACCCTAAACAGGGTCGTTGTGAGTAGGAGCTGATTCAACAACATTTAGCAACAATAACAAAAATAACAACTGGAGAATATGTTTGAATTTGGGGTATTTTTCCCCCTAGCACACTCCATTCCAAGTCAGTCATGGGGTTGAGGATGAGCAGGTATAAGTCAGCCTGGGCTGATGAGACACAGACTAACATGGGCAACCTTTAGAGACAAGAAATGTTGCAGACCCCCATGGCCTCCCACAATATCACTGTAAAGGCAGCATTTCATAGGGTTTTATGATAAAGTATCTTTGGTCAGGAGTTCCTCACTATGGCTTGCCATTACAATTACTTAGGAAGCTAAAGCAAGAAAAATTCTACCCCCAGATTCTCCCTGGGTGGTGGTGGTGGTGAGAAGGGGATCTATGTCCAGAGGCACTTTTTCTGCTTCTAAAACCATCAGCTTTCTCTATGGCTGGTGAAAAGATAAAAATGCAACCTACTTGTTATGGATTGAATTTCTGTTGTCATTGTTGTTGTCAGGTGCCATCAAGTCTGTTTTCCAACTCATAGCGACCCTGTATAGATAGGGTTTCTGAGGTTGTAAATCTTTACAGGCACAGAAAGCCTCATCTTTCTCCCGCAGAGTAGTTGGTGGATTTGAACTGCTGACCCTAAGGTTAGCAATCCAACGCGCAACCCATGAGTGGCACTGGATAACTAAGACAAAACTATCTCATAGACATTTCATAGTCTAAATTGTTGTTGTCAGCTGCCCTCGAGTTGACCCATGGTCACCCCACGCTGTCCAGTCCTGCCCCATCCCATGATCGGTTGCAGATCAGACTGGTGCTGTGATCCATTGGGTTTTTGCTGACACGTTTTTCAGAAGCAGATCACCAGGCCTTTCTTCCTAGTCTTTCTTAGTCTAGGATCTCTTTAGCATCACAGCAACACACAAGCCTCCACTGACAGTGGGTAGTAGCTGTGCAGGAGGTACATTGGCTGGAAATTGAACCTGGGCCTCCCACATGGATGTTGTTGTTAAGTGCCATCGAGTCAGTCATAGTGACCCGGTAAAGGGCATCCCACATGGAAGGGGAGAATTCTACCACCAATAATCTCATAGTCTGAATTAGAGGTATCAAAAGTCATTAACTGGATGTGTAAGTAGTTAGGCTGTGATGTGGGGTCAATCTGATACGGCTGGCAGAGTAGATAACATCATAGCATCCTCACCTCCACATGCCTCTGTCCTGAAGCTTTTCACTTGGGCCAAGGGGAGACTCTCCCTCAAAGGGAAGGTCCAATCTTCTTCCGAGGGCATAGGCTTCACAGTTCCAGAGGTTTTAACATATTGATGAATCAGAGGAGAGCAGCTCTGAGATCTTTCCGTTTGAATTTCACTAAAGTGACAATTTGTCTGAGCACAGCAATTTGGTTTTTCAGTCTCAGCAGTTTCCTGAGAATGAAACTCCAGATTTACAGAATACCCACTTGTGTCATGCCCCCCTGCTATAAGTATTATATGTGTTTATGGCTTTAATCCACATTGAAACTCTACAGTCAGCAGCATCATTTCCACTGACTAGATGAGGAAGCTAAGGGTACGCCATCATCAACAACAACAAAGGAAAACAGTTGCCCCTGAGTTGATTTTAACATTTGGCGGCCCAGTGTGTGCTCCATAGGGGTTTCGATGACTGATTTTTTTGAAAATAGGTTACCAGGTCGTTGTTCTGAAGCACCTCTGGATAGACTGAAACCTCCACCTTTTGGTTAGTTGCTAAGCACCTTACCCGGCTGCACCACTCAGGGACTCTAAAAGGGTCCGTAGCATCTCCAAAGTGACACAGCTCATCGGCAGCAGAGGCATCCTTTGAACTGCGGTGGCTGGGCTGCACCTCAGTCGCTTTGCTTCATTGCTTGTCTTTTGTCTTAGAAAGACCTTGAGTCTTGCAGGTAGTATGTACGTACCTTCCTGTCTGTCCCACTGGTAATGATCTGGAATTCTTCAGGGTGATAACAAACACACTGGAATAAGGTATTGGCCAGGATCATTTGGTTCCTTTTAAGATGCCTGAAAAGGAAGACTCAAAGCTGCAAACCTCAAGCTTCTCTTGCCCAGATAATACTGTATCGACTATTCAAACTAGATTTGGCACAAGTTTGGGTTAGTGTAGCTATCTCAAGTAGCAAATACTGCTCAGCACAATGGCATTTGTATTTCCTCAAACTAGAGTTCTGGCTAGTCTGTCGGCTCTGTCTACCCTGGCATTGCATCTAAGTGTAATGTAAGGAAGGGCAACTGTCAGAGGACACTAGGCAGAGCCCTTTTCTAAAGACAAAGCACAGCGCTCAAGGGGAAGCTGGAGCTCTGACTAGAAGGAAGTAGGAGAGACTGACTTCATAGCCAATCTGCTGTCTCCCACACCAGCTATTGTATTCTCAAGGCCACCATTTGGAAGAGGTCCCTACAGGCTGAGGGAGCAGCTACGCATGGGGGAGGACTTTCTTCTTTCTTTTCACTGGGATAAATAGATCTGCAACAAAACATGTCATTTCAATATTTTCCACATGTACAGTTTAGTGACATTGTTTATCATGTACTTCAGCCATAACCATTATTTCTTTTCAAAATTTTCCATCGCCCTTAACAGAAGGCTCAGTGTCCTCCAAGCAATAAGGCTCCTATTCCCTCTCCTTCTTACCCACCCCTGGTAATCACTAATTAGCATTGGTCTTTATAGTCTTGCCTATTCTAGATATTTCATGTAAGTGGACTCATAAAATATTTATTCTTTTGTAGCAAATTTTATTCCACATGTTTTCAATATATCCATATTATAGCATGTATGGGGATCTCATTTTCCTTTAGAGGTGGCGGTGGTGTGCCGTGGAGTCGGTTCTGACTAATAGCCACCCTGTATAGGGTTTCTGAGGCTGTAAATCTTTACCAGAGTGGAAAGCCTCATCTTTCACCTGCTGAGCAGCTGGTAGTTTCGAACTGCTGACCTTGAGGTTAGCAGCCGGACTCTCGTAACCACTATGCTCCCAGAGCTCCATGAGTAATAGTCCATTGTATGTATGTACCATATTTCCATTTGGGTGGTCTCCACCATTTGGCTATTATGGATTGTTATGTTGTTATTGTGAAGTGCTGTAACGTCAGTTCCAACTCATAGTGACCCTGTATATGGTTTACAAGGAGCAGCTCGTGGGTTTGAACCACTGACCTCGTGGTTACCAGTCCAGTGCTTACAGTGCTTCAATAAACATTGGTGTAGGGTATTTGTTTTGTACTCTTACTTCAATTTGGGGTGGGGTGTCTAACGTGCTGGACTGCAAAGTTGGTTTGAGCTGCAAGATTGGCAGTTCAAGCTCACCCGCTGCTCCTTGAAAACCTTATGCAGGGTGGCTATGGGTTGGAACTGACTTGATGGCACTTAACAACAACAACAACAACAGCCTATGTATGGAGTTGCTGGATCGGATGGTAAGTCTAAGGGAGTGCAGTGGCTACGTACAATAAATACTGGAATGCCAACCACCAGGTCGGCGTTTTGAACCCGAGAAGAGAGAAAGGTGAAGCTTTCTGCTTCCCCAAAGAAGTAAGTACAGCCTCGGAAACCCTATATGGGATCATTGTGAGTCGGAACCAACTCAATGGCACTTAATAACAACAGCATGGCAATTCTATTTTTAACGTTGTGAGGCACTGCCAAACCATTTCCCACAGTGTCTGTACGATTTTACATCCTCACTAGCAATGGATGTGAGTACTGAAGGCTTTTACAAAAGGCTTCTCTTCTGGGAAGCTGGATTTAGTAGGTTGGGATGAGGCTCACAGATCTGCATTTTTCCCCAGCCTCCCTGTTGATCCTTCTGCACACAATCATCTGAGAACCTTTGCTCTAGATTCTATATCAAGAAATAAAGAGATGCTGCTTCTCTTTCCATAGGCAATACTGCTGGGTGGCCACCTCACAGGCCAGAATCTCTCGACTAAAAACTATCTTCTGCACAGTTTCTTCTCATTTTGGAAGTATGAAGAGCTTCAAAAAGTTTATAGAAAAATTCCATTATCTTTTAATTCAATAATTCCACGAACTTAAAAAAAAATAATAATAAAGCCCTGATACTCAGACTTCATATTTGAGCTGAACGTCTGTTAAGATTTTAACACACGTCCTGGTATGGTGCTGTGGGCTAATGCATCAGACTGCAAGTTCTTTTGAACTGCAAGGTCGGTGGTTCAAGCTTACCAGCTGCTACTTGGAAACCCTATACAGGGTTGCTATGAGTCGTAATCGACTCGACGGCACTTCACAACAACAACCACAACCAATGGTTGCTGCCAAATAACAGGATAAAGATTTGAGGTGGTCAAAGCTGGTCATGGAGATAGAGTAGACATGCCCTTCTAGTTATATGCTTTCCAGTGGGAAGTTCAAGTGTAGGCTAACACCTTCCTCTGTGTGGTCCTTGGACCAGCCCCACAGGCTTTAAAGGGAGCAGAATCCCAGGTGTTACTCCAGACCTAATGAAACAAAATCTACACTTTAACAAGATCCAGGTGACTGGTATGCAAATTGAAGTCAGAGAAACCTCAGCTAGGAGACAGACAGGTTTGCCTTTGTTTCTGGGGTTTTTTTGTTTTGTTTTGGGTTTTTTAATTTCTTATGAATTGAAAAGCTGTCAGCTTTGGCCTTTCATTTCCATTTTCTTGTCTCCAATCAAGAACATTTCAATTTCCTTTTCTATATACATCTCCTTCCTTCCAGCTTTGTACTTAGTCACGGCTCTTATGCAGATCTGAACTCCTGATGTGGGGCTGTAGGATCGGCACTGGACTGCGGAACCACAAGGTCGGCAGTTCAAAGCCACCAGCTGCTCCTCAGAAACCCTATACAGGGTCACTATGAGTTGGAACCAACTTGACGGCACTTAACAACAACAACAACATGCAGCTAGAGACTCCTGGTGTGGCGCTGTAGAATACACACTGGAGTACAAACTGCAAGGTCGGCAGTTCAAACCCACCAGCTGTTCCTTGAAAACCTTGAGTCGGAATTCATTCGACAACACTTAAAAACATACAGCTATAGTGAGGAAATACATCTTAGGAGCGGTGCAGGAGTTGGTGGAATAGGGTCTGCTTCTAAAATAAAAGCGTACAGCAAACATGTTTGTCTTATACTCAAAAACTCAAAATTTACCCTGGCAAATCCTTTTAATTACTCCTGCAACAAAGTTACCATGCTTTAGGCTAGTTAGCTTGGATTGGGGCATCATTTAAAAACCAATTGCTGCCAAGTCGATTCTGACTCCTGGCGACCCCATGTGTATCGGTATGTTCCATAGGGTTTTCAGTGGTTGATTTTTCATGAGTGTGGTTCATCAGGTCTTTCTTCTTAGGCTCTTCTGACTGGACCTTAACCTTTCCGTTAGCAGCTGAGCCCATTGACCATTTGCCTCACCCAGGGATTCCTAAGCACCCTAAGTGGTATGCTCACATTGTAAGAGTTCCCTGGGACTACGGTCAACTGAGTTGTTGTGTGCTGGCAAGTCGGTTTCAACTCATAGAAACCCTGTATAGTGTTTTCAAGAGTGGCTGGTGGGTTTGAATTGCTGATCTTGTGATGAGCAGTTCAGTGCTGATCCTACAGGACCACACCAGGGCTCAGGTCAACAGAGGGGGAGGGCAAAGGTATGTACACGCTCATTCTGGGCATTACTTGAAATGACAAGAGAGACTGAGCTGCCTGCATTACTTTAAGTTCTTATCCTTGCTTTCTTTTGTTCAGAATGTTATAGTTGTTGTTAAGTGCGATGGAGTG